GGAACCCCCCCCCAACCATCAGATCCATCCACCCCCATGTCATGGTCCACGGGCGACCAAGCACTTTTGTGGTATAGCTCGCCTAGCCCCGTGTAAGAAAGCCCAGGCATCTCTGTTCGACAAAGCATTAATCATAAACACGGCAATATTCTCTACCGTGTGGTATATGGCATCCATCTGGTCCCCCCCTGACAACGACCTCAAGACTCTGAAGGCTAGGGTAAGATGCTTCCTGTGGACTGCTGACACTAACAGGACCATGTGCATCAACAAGGTTGCATGGCAAGCAGTTACCAGGAAACCGCAAGGAGACCTGGGCATTATAGACCCAAAACAGGAAGCAGTCGCCCTTCAGATGCAATGGGTTATCAAGATCCTAACCAAACAATTTCCACCTTGGACAAAAATGGCCCTAGACAGCATAAGAAACCTGACACCAACGAATTCTCCACCCAACATGAGGGGCCTCTTCTGGATCATGGCCAAAGAATGGTCAATCAAAACAGGGAGGACAGCAAGGAGAGTGCACCATGAGATGACCAATCAGCCTACCCCCTCACGCAACCCTTATTGGTCGCCGACCCTGAAGGCTTGGCGTCGACTTATGCCCAACAAACATGGCATGCCGAACAACAAAGAGGAAGTCCTCAGGCAGCCTCTCTTCAGCAATCCATGGTTAAAGGACGCAGAAGGTAATCCTTGGACCCTCCGCGCTAAAGATCGCAGATGGCTGACCTGGTTGGAGAGAGGAGTGTGGCAGATCAAACATCTATGGTCCACAAATCGAGATGACTGGCTGATGGACCAAGAGCTTCGAACCTCCCTTAGGGGGTGCCACTCATTGGAAACCAATATAGCAGCGATACATCATAGCATCCCCACTCAATGGATAGCTCTCCTAAGAGAAAGATTCACGTGGAAGCCAGGTGAATGGGGCCTACTAATCTCTCAGACTCCATCCCTCGAGGGCCTATCGTTTCATTTCTCGATCAGATTCCCCCAGCTACCGATCCATCTTCTTGTGTTACCCCATCTCCAAACACAAATCTCTTAGGAAATGGAAATCCAGGACAATAGCCCTCAAATAGAGCGGCTAGAAACCTTCCTTCTTAGAAAGGTCATAGTCACCCAGAACAAACCATGGGTCATATTCCAGACATAACTTAGCATCGATGACTTAGAATTCGACCCTAAGGAATGTGGAAACAAGGCTCCAACAGGAAATCAAAAACAATTTTCGAATACGACGTGAAATTTGGCTACGACCTCGGGTTGCAGACGATAGACCTGAACCCCGAGCTAAAAGAGAAGTGGCAAAACATCTTGAACCTAGTCCCCTCGATCCCATTCACCATTCCCTGGACCAAATACCTTCTTATGAGGCCCATTAGAATCCTCACCATGCAATGGCTCCTAGCACACGCAGCCCTCCCAGTCAATCAATGGCTCCACAAAAGAAGAAAACACTCAGACCCAGACAACTCAGAACTCTGCGTTTTGTGCAACAACAACACACCAGAAGATATCCGCCACTGTCTCCTCTACTGTCCTAAAGCGATCTGGATCTGGGACAAAGTTCGGCAACTATGGTCCATCCTCTTTTCAACGTCACCCCCAAACACTTCCCCTCTAACTATCCTACTCCTCTCTAACACTCCCAGGAAGTTCAAAGGCAGCGAGGAAGTCTGGTTCATTCTACTTAGAAAATTGGCTCTATGGGTCAGATGGAAACACAAATGCACACGAACAATCGAAGGAGCAGAGGTGTCAAGGGAGGAAATGTGGACTCTTCTGATAAGCATGGTGGAGACCGAAATTCGGGCCAGATGGCGGAAACTATCCTCATCCAAGATGCAGAGACCAGAAAAGCACACATTCAAAAAACGAACATTCCTAAGGAATTGGTTGTTTAAGGGCAAGATCGCCACCAAAGCGGCCAACAGGCTGATATGGAAAAAGTGGCATCAAGCGTAGCCGCAAAGCAACGGAACACCACATTGCAAGGAAGATGAGCAATAGCGAACTTCAGAAATCAAACAGCATCATACACATGAGACCAGATAGTCGTGACCTCGAACCAATGGCAAAATTGCATCACGAGTTTCACCAAATAAGAGCACACCAAAAGCTCATAATTGACAATGCTGGAATAGTCTCATCATCATCAACGAAGAACCAATGTTGATATCCTATCCGGCGCTCGACGCCCAGACTACACATTGCAGATCCTATCTAGCCTACTTTACGATGCCGCTGATGACGTCAACAGCTCCCCGAAGTACGAGCAGATCTCGGACAATGCCGTACGCTTCAAGCACCAAGTATGCCTCTCTTATCACTCACAACCTCGTTCCCCAACTCACAGATGCCACATGCACCCAAGGACCACCATGCGCCCCATCCAGCCCACAACAGCGCAGCTCGGCTATGGCTACCTGCTCCTTCCAGCTCGCCCGTGAGCGCGTGAGCCTGGCCAGCGTTAGCGCAGCATGCAGCCAATGCCCGAATGTCCAATGCGTAGGCAGACCCTTCTCTATATCGAAGTGGCCTGCTGCTGCGTGCGGTAATGCGGTACTGGGCCCTGGTCTAGAAGCGTCCGGTAGGCCCCACGAGGCTGAGCCTCAGTCCGAAGTAAACAGGCCCAGGGCCTGTGGTGGTTACCAGCACCCAACTACCCTCAGCCTTTGTTCGGTCCACTTTGTGTATCCGGCCAGGGCCTGCCTCAGTTACATGCAATGAAAGGCAGCCTGGGCCTCGACGCTTCCAACCGACTGGCGCTACGCAACTGCCTGAATTTCCCCAGTTGCGTGGTGACCCCAAAATGGCATGTAGGCCTCGGTCATGCCTACCTTCACTTAGGGCGGCCAACTGTGTGGAAAATATGCCCTGTGGGGCATATTGAGGCCCTGTGCCTCACATTCCCTCCATACTTCGATTGTCCTCAGAGAAGTTCAGTCTTCGATAATTTGGCGTTTTCCCTTCTGCAGAGTTTTCTCGTAGTGAGCGACAACATGTGGAGCGGTTTGCATCAATTCCTCCCGTGTGAACCATCTATCCTCCTTTGGATCTGTGTGATGTCTGAACCGAACTCAGTACTTCATCTTCGGTTTTGGAGGGCGTCCCCCACCTGTCGGTCTTGGAACTAGCATCTCCCTGTGATCAACGATGTCATCGATGTCGACCTCTCCGTCCATGGTTGGGGGCAACATAGAGCGACGAGAGGGAAACTGGTCAGTTTCCTTGAATGGTGCAAGCTTAGAGGCGTGAAAAACAGGGTAAGTGCGAAGGTATCCAGGGATACGAATGGCATATGAGGGTCCGTCTGGTTCATCCCCAACTACATCCAAAACCTCCCATGGTCCAAAGTACTGTGGCATAAGCTTACGGGAAATCCCGTGCTCCTGTCCCAGTTCTGAAGCCTTGACCCAGACCATGTCCCCTACCTGAAACATAGATGGGCGGCGGTGCTTGTTCTCGTATTCGATCATCGGCATTTGTGCTTTGTGCATGTGTTCTACTGCCTGCTGCATATGACTCTTATATCTATAAGCGAACTCCAAAGTGCCTGGAGCAGCAGTAGGCTGGTTCTCAGTTAGCAGAAAGTCAAGGGGCAGTCTGGGTTTGAATGTTAGAAGTAGGCTATTAGGACTTACTCCCGTGGCACTATGAACTTCATTGTTGTATAGGCTGGCGATGAGAGCAAGCTTCTCATCCCAGTCCACTTGATTAGGCTTAATGAGCAAGTGTTGAACAGCGCGGTTCATTTGCTTTGCCTGCCCGTTTGCCTCTGGATGGTTTCCAGATGTCATCTGCAATTGCGTTCCTTGTTCGGCAGCCACGACCTTCCACAGTTCACTGGTGAACCGAACATCCCTGTCGCTGATTATAGACATCGGCAGGCCAAAGTCTCTGACCTAGTTTTCCTTATATAGCTTGATAACGTACTTGGTCTTTGTTGTTTCCGACATGGCCATTAACCTAGCATACTTACTAAATTTATCCACGATGACGTAGATGTACCTCATGTCACTCTTGCTGGTGACTAGTGTATCCATGAAATCCATGGACAGGCTTTCACCTGGCCTTTACGGAATGGGAAGGGGCTTGAGCAGCCCAAGAGGAGCCTGTGTCCGGGGCTTGTCACGTTGACAAACTTGACAAGTCTCGACATATAGTTTGGCATCTCTCATCATCGTGGGCCACCAGAACCGCTGCAACAGATTGGCTGCAGTCTTCTTGAAACCAAAATGTCATGTGGCATCATGGCACTCTCCTAAAAATAAACTACGCAAAGACTCTATTAGGAACACACAATCGTTTATTCCCGGCCTTCTCAAGGAACAACAGGCCGTTGACCAACTCAAACTCGACATAAGTCACCTTGTCCTTCGCCTCGAGTCTGCGTATGATTTCAGACATGAAGTGATCCTCGCGATAGGCTTCCACCATCGAGCGAGTGACGTCATCCACAAGCCCAAACTCAGTGATCAGCGCACCGGAGAAGTCTGGCCTACACGAAAGCGCATTAGCAACTTGGTGTACTCACCTTTGAGATACTGGGGCTCGACGTCATATTGCTCTGACTTCGATCCAGCGTTTCAGCGCATCGGAGAGCACAGGCTGAGTTCTCATCCACCTCAGGGTGTGATGATCAGTTCTGACGATGAAGAACCTCCCAAGGAGATAGTGCCTCCAGTGGGTTAGCGCTTTATAGATCGCATACAACTCCTCATAGGTGGACTTGGCCAACTTCTGAGAGGGCATCTTTTTGGGCATGTACTCTACTGGCCTCAACTTTGGCCCCTCATGCTGCGCGAGCACGGCGCCTATGCCATATTGGCTAGCATCCGTGGTAACTATAAACGACTTGTTAAGATCAGGAAGTTTCAAGACCTCATGGTGTGTCAACGCATGCTTCAGATGTCTGAAAGCAGCCTTACACCTGTCTGTCCACTCCCATAGGGTGTCAAGGCGAGTTAGGTCCGTCAAAGGGGCGGCAACTATGCTATAGTTCTTCACAAAATTGCGATACTAGCCGATCATCCCTAAGAAGGACCTCATCTCAGTCATAGACTGAGGACGAGGCCAGTCACGAATGCTGGCCACCTTCGCGTCATCGGCTTCAAACCCTCCGCGGAAATCTCATGACCCAAGTACAAGATCTGGGTGCGACCAAACTTGCATTTCTCCCCATTGATCTTGAACTTGTGCTGCCGAAGGAGACTGAGGACGTTATCTAAGTGCGCAACATGTTCCTCAACAGTCCTACTAAAAATGAGTATGTCATCGAGATACACGATGACAAACTTGTCCCAGTGGCCATGAAAGATCCGATTCACAGCGTGCTGAAAGGTGCCAGGAGCATTGCGAAGGCCGAAAGGGATCACCACAAACTCGTACAGACCGTACCTGGTCTGAAAAGCTGTTTTGTGCTGATCCTCGGGCCGTATTGCAATCTGATGGTACCCAGACTTCAGATCTATCTTACTGAAGTACCGACACCCTTGCACTCTATCTAACAGATCGTCGATGCGCGGCAGGGGCTCTCTGTTCTTTACAGTGATGGCATTGAGGCCCCTATAGTCAATGCACATCCTCAGAGTTCCCCCCTTCTTCGACACAAATAAGACTGGAGATCCGTAAGGGGAGACACTCAGACGGATCCAACCCTTCTCTACGAGTTCCTTGAGTTGCCGGCGAAGCTCATCAAGCCCACTTGGAGACGTGCGATAGATCCTACCCTTCGGGATGCTAGACCTTGGGATAATCTCTATCGTGTGGACGACCTCCCTCTCGACAACCTCTGTCGGCTCTTCAAATAGATTAGGGTACTTTGCAACTACTCCCTCTATCTCCGACGGCATTTTCACCGGCTCGCCTGCTGCAGAGACATAAACTAGATACATACCCTCCTCCAGATTTTGCTTATAATAGTTGTAAAACGCTGCAGCACACATGCATCCGTAAGACTCCATCAGACTACTAGCCTTAAACTTACGCAATTTGGCGGTCCCTCCACCTGGCAAAATGTGCTTGACCACTTTTCGGTCCCAGTCAAACTGGGGCTGTGCAATGGAGAGGTAGTACATACTTAACAAGATATTCATAGGGAGATCATCGCTCACTAGGAACGAGACGCGATGTCTCAATTCCCCTCCCTCGTACGGGAAACAACACTCAACATCCTGGAGGTAGTCATTAACTACCATGCGTTGTTTGTTGGCACAGGTCAACTCCACATGTCGACTCAGGCACTGCACTTGCCCCTGTAAGCGCAGTCTCTCAATGCACGCGCGACTAATGAAGTTCCTTGTCGAGCAAGTGTCATAATAGGCCCCCGCCTTGCGGTCGTCGATGACTACCTTGCCGACGAACATCTCTCCCTTAGAGGCTTTAGCTAATGCCGTCCAAGAAGCTAGGGGGTCTGAACTAGACCACTCCTCCTCTAGCTCCTCTAAGGATTCAAACACATTCATCGAACAGAGGCTCGATGGGTCTGAATGTGTTTGCGGGACGACGATGGAGTCAGTAGCTTGGGCTATCTCTCAAGATGGTGAGGGTGTGTCCACCACCTCGACCCTAGCAGGAACAACTACTATTCCTACTGGCCCAACGCGTTTCCCGGAGCAGTGCCAGAACTGCTGGCTATATTGCTGCCAACGGGAGTGGAGGATCCCAACGCCTGCCCCATCGTAGGCGGGATCTTTGTGCCAACGGGAGTGGAGGATCCCAACGCCTGCCCCATCGTAGGCGGGATCTTTTCGGTCACTTTTTTGCTTCGGCACTTGAACTGGTTGTGGTCGTATTGGCTACAACGGATACAAGCTTGCTACGTGTACCGATCTCTCCACACATCCTCATTGAGATCCGCTTTCTCCCATGGAGGAGCATTGGGGTCAAACTTGACTCCTAGATCGGGAACCTCCACAACGTGTACCGGTCGCCTTACCTTTTTAAGCTACGACAGCGACTTCTCCACCCCTTGAACCCACTCCCGCCTGGAAGTCGTCGTCCAACTCGATGGTGGAACCATCGTTGTCGACGAACATAATGCGTCCCATCGCTTTCCAGTTGGAAGGCGGTGACTTTTTCCTACCATCCGTCGTGGTTGTTTGACCATGCCCTATCTTTACTTCCAGGTCTAGGGCCTTCTTGCTAAACGAGGGGAAGTTGTGCATGTTGATGTTGGTCTCACCTGCCAACTGATTCCTAACAGGCATAGGGAGGCATCTCAGGTAGGAGGTGAGTAAAACCTGGGGGTCATAGCGCACCCCAGGGACACAGATCAGACGCTCTACTGCGCCTGTGGCTTCCCTTACTGACTTAAACTGTAGGGTATGCAGAGTCGGGATCGCATCAGTGGCCTTTTGGGCCTCCTAAAGATCATGCCACCTGTCCTCCACCATCTTGAGGAAGTCATCCAATTTCTGGTTGACTTCACAAGCGCGGAAGTCATGACCGTATCCCTGTAGCTGCACTAAATCGCTCAACCATCTTTCTGCACTCCCCTCTAGATAGGAGGCAGCCACAAACACTTCCACGTGCGGCAAGGTAAGTTTACACTTAACATAGATTGGCACTACCCTCAACCATGTGTTGAGGTCTTCGCCCCTCTTATCCCCTGTAAAGGGTTTAGGAGCAACGATGGCCGTCTTTGGAACCCACTGACTTTGTCCCAGTACCTGCACCATTCCGGGTTGTGGACCCTGTGGTGCAGGCTGCTGCATTAGTTGCTGTTGGGGCTGTGTACCCTGCGGCTAAACAGGCTGCGAGACAGCAGGCTGCCCGCTTATGGCAACCTGCGACGGAGGTTGGGAGTGTACGCTAGGACCTGCTGAGAACCCTCTCACTAACGGCATACCCAGGGAAACGGTTTGGACCGGCGTTGGGGAGACATATGGGGATACCCCAGTCACCAGTGGAACAAAAGGAGGAGGATGCACAACGGGCCAGACACCGGGCCCGAACAGTGATGGTGCCGCCTGCGCTCGCCCGACCAACACGACTAGACTCTGTTGGATGTCCTGTAAGATCGTTGTCTGGTGATCTTGCATCTCTACTACACCTAGCAAGACCGACCTTAGGGTCCTCACATCATCATCCAACTCTGTTGGGTCCATCTCCTCTAACTCGCTAATTTCCGCTTGTCTCCACTGCATCCTGGCTCTTCTTCTTATCATTCTTTCCTTCTCCGTCTTTCTCTCTCCTAAGGCCTTTTGTAGTTGTGCCTCCTGCAGTGCTGCCTGCTGTATGGCGATCTCATCGGAAGTCAACACTAATGGCTGGCTTGCCATGACACCAGTGGACTGACTCAAGGTTTGCGCGACCGTTGACCCTATGGCCCTTGAACTGCTGGCCGGGGAACTCTGCTGCGCAATGGTTGCCATGGCTGCTGAAGCAGCGGCTTCATTTGCGAATGCCCTGCTGGCCTCCGCTGCCCTAGCTCTCCGCTGTTGCTGTTGCCTCTCCCTAAACTGGCGGAACAGTAACCTATCACCCTCGGGTCCTAATGCCAAGTGGGCGATCGGGCGTCTAACCGATCGCAAGATCCGGTCGTCCTCACTAGTAGTATCCCTATCGCTCAGAAGCTACAGAACTGTACACAATCTGCACTAAGCCACTCTTTGATGCTTACCATAGCATAGTGTGCATACCGATTTATAATAATTAAAGTAATTAATCGGTGGTTGTGTTAGAGAGTATATACGTTTGGGTCCAACAGGTAAGTTCAGGTTCCTACAAACGAAACTACTTTGACTTTGACTAGTTTGCAAACGGAAGCACAATGAACAAAAAAAAGTTCTAAACTATGCTGTCTGTCAGATGTTAATGGTTGTACATCTAAGTAATCAAAATAAAAATAGAATAATTTGTTGGGTTTGTTTGCAGAGTGGAATCTTGCTCAAACTTATCACCTGGAATCTACCCCTCCGTCAGTTCTTCGTGAATGCCTCTTGTCGCCAAGGTCTCTGAGCAATCCGGACAGCGTGCGTGTCTAAAGATGTGCACGCATGGTCAGCACCAATCAAGAGTCCTCACTCAACCCTCTGATCTTCTCTGTCTCTCACTTTGCTGTTCGTCGTTTGGGCTTCTTGCCATGTCTCCGTACTCTCTGAGGTTGTGGCTTCTGAATGTACAGCCACCTGAAGCCCGCCAATTCCAAACTTTTCCAGCCAAGTCTCATGATACGGAAGTCAAGCATGGCACAAAATTCCTCCCATAGTGTGAGGAGATGGGGCTGAGAGAAAATACCCCTCCTGAGATGCGGGAACTCAGAAGGCTCGGTCACCGCCTCATAGTCGATCACTGCCGGCGATCTGTATCTTTTGGCCAAGTCCACCAGACTGCCCCAATAAGAGCCATCAGTAAGGTAGTAAGGAACAGGAGGTTTAGGATAATCCGTGAAGAGTTTAGGACCGAAACTGTAGACCAGCTTTGTATTACCCTCGAGTCTCTCAGCTTTCCACTGCACATACCCGGCTGCTGCTGCCCATACCGCATCAAAATGAGGGTGTGTCTCATTCCCCTTTCTCAGGAAGATCCGTAAGTCACTGACTGTACCTTCAGCGAACTCAGTGAGAACGATGAAGATGGACAGGTCTTCTCGCTTGAACCCATCAATCTTGACGTACCTGTAGGGGAAGCTCTCCCTGACAGCAATCAGATTAAGACTGTCAAGGACCGACGGACCCACTGTGATGGGGTTGATCTCTCTCATGTGTTTGGATAGGTAGCTACCTCTAGATGGAGGGAAAAGGCCTGCTTGATTAAAGACGCCAGCTACTTGAATTGGCTATTACTTGCTGATGAATGTCTGCTGCTGTTTGGTTTGATTGAAAAGCTGCTGCTTGAATGCCCCCGAACGCTGTTCTAGATGCTATCTCCAAATACTGATCTGAATACCTTTTCTTGATCGTCGGTCTGAATGCTTAATTGTTTACTGATTTGAATGCAGATTGTTTGCTGGCTGATTGCTGATTGACCGCAGGTTAATTGCTGATTGGTTGCTGACTTGATTGTTGTTTGTCCGCTGTTTGGTTACCGATTGACGACTACTGCTGTGATTGCCCGCTCTGATGTGCTGTTTCTAACAGCTGACTGTTTGCTGAATGCTGACTAAATAGATGGCCGAGTAGTAATTAATATAGTAATTAAGTAATGACTGAGTGGCAGCTGAATACCGCTCTGAACACTGTCCAGAGCACTGCCCTGAATACTGCTCCGAGCACTGAATGTTGCTCTGAGTACTGTACTGAGTACTATCTAGGGCACCGATTACTGCTCTGAGCACTGTTCGGAGTACAGCCCAATACTGCGCTGGGTACCGTTCTGAGTACAGCCTCAAGTATCCAAATATGACCTTGAGTACGATTTTGAGTATAGTTCTGAGTATAACCTTGAGTATAGTTCAGAAGGCCGTCCGAACGCCTTTCGAGTACTGTCCTTGAAAAATTGTTCTCAAAGGATGTCTTAAGAAAAAAAAAAAGAGAACCGTTTTCTGACTGCCTGTTTCTAGCTGCTATTTTGATCATTGTTCTGAATCCTGTGTCTGAGCACTGTTCTCAACTTGGCCTTTAATCGTCTGAGCCTGATTCTGGTCTCTGGTTTCTTATTGTTTGCGCCTGGTTTCTATTTATCTGAGTATGCACCGAATATCATTCGAACATGCACTGAATATTACATTGAATATTGTCTAACACGCCGGACCACTGGATTGTGAGTTTCTCATGTCATTGTCAATATTTACGATACGGAGAATTTTCCGGAAGTGGTGATCTGGACTTTACTGGATTCATCCGAGCTTCGCCCTGGCCTGTTCCACACTTTCCAACAGAGAGCCGGTACTGTGAAGCTGGCCGTCAGACCCATAAAAGTAAATTACGTACTCTATGTACTTTCTTTCCCCCGCCGATTGATCGCAAACTCCCTCTGAATTAGCCTGTTTTTTTCCATGTCCTTGAGCGCCTCAGCTTCCCACCTTTCACTCTTGTCTCTAACTGATTCGCCCTTCACCACCAAAACCTCGCCTCCTCTCATTTCTCCCAACAACAGGATTCCGACCGCGAAAATGAAATTGATTGCACCTGACCCTAAAGGGGTTGCAATCAGTGGAAGACAACAGTCCTCAGACTTAGAAAGAGTCGACTCATTAACGTCTTAGAGCCTGTACTACGTCATTGTGGACCAATCAATGGCTAAAGGGCGTCTCAGGCGCTGTTCTCAGAGCACCCACGTCCCCTCTTGTCCGACACGCCTGCCTAGACCAGGAAATACACCCGAGTGAGACAGGGCCCAGCACCGTTTTCCGTTCGGAGTTCATTTGGTATTGGAGAACAGGCCCTTAGTACGGGTTCTTTTGGGCTGCACTCAACGACGTGGCCTCTTCCGAATTCGGGACAAAACACTCTGCTTTGGAGGTCCGAGCGTTGATTGATCACCCTGAGCTTATTCACCACAAAGCATGAAACCTGACCCGTCTCTCCTCGAGAGTGCCAGGCCTGTTTTGAGTCCCACCAGCCACTGTTGCTCTGAAAACAAGACTAGCTTACACCTGTTCTGATATGCTAGGTTGCGAGTTGATCAAAACTCAGCAGAATAGCTTGAAAAAGCGTGTTCACTCAGACTCAAGGACTGTTAGACGGGATTGGCCCGGGTTGGCAGTAGGGGTGGAACTTTTCTGGAAAAGCCTGACATGTCTTACGTAGAATGTTTGTCTGATCCTGCCAGGAGCTCAAAAGGGCCTTACTGTGCCCACCAAGTAGAGTTCAGAGTGACGAGTTCCAAATTTGCTTGACAACCTCCCTCTTTCACTTATTTCGGGTATCACTATAACAGTTCACGACCCACTCTGCTTTGTGAAGATTCGTTCTCAGGTAAACTGGAGTCCCCGAGTAGTGCAGAGAAACCGCTTTGAGTGTGTTCCAACTTTTGTCCCCCGTCAGCAATCACACTTCCATAACATGTTGTTCTTACAAGTTATCATCATAACATCAAGAAGAAGCATTTGCTCTGGATTCCTGACATCTTTCTAGTAACCCAGCACAAGGTGTTGCATGTACTTGAACTGACACCCCTGTTCTAGAGGGATCGTCACTCTTTGCTGGCCCTCCTTCCCAGTCAATCTACTTCCAGGATTAGCAATCCATCCAGTGTGCAAACAGGAAGCTAGTCCCCATCGAGCAAAAACTTTGCAATCAAGTAGGTTATTTTCCTCAGTTGGCGTTTTCTTCTCCTACCACTCATTACTCGGCTTCATTCAGGCCGCTCTCGTCAAAGCATTCTGTATGAGGTACGAAGTAACGAGTAGAATAGGAGCCTCATATACTTGTGAAAGCAAATCCTCGTGGTTTTCCCTGGACTAACATCAACAAGCTGGCGTGGCTCCCAGTGTGTTCCAAATGGCTAGAGCGGTCATCTGATTTACAGAGCATTCAGCTTACTCACACGGACACTCGCAGGTTCACACAGTCCCGCACCAGAATCATTTTCAGGACACGATCAAATTATTACCACTATAGACAAGATACTCAATCAAAAATTCTTACCACTATAGGCAAGATACTCAATCAGAAATTCTTACCACTATAGGCAAGATACTCGATCAGAAATTCTTACCACTATAGGCAAGAATACTCAATCAGGTGAGCGTACGCAAGCCAAAGCAAACACGCCTCCGTGCAGTCACGCGAAACAATCACACAATGCCATTACAAGATAACGGTCATACGGCATTGTCTCACAACGCAGTCACTCGAGGTAATCACACCGTGCCGTTACACGATACAGTCACACGGCACTATCACGCAACACAGTCACACGAAGTGATCGCACCACGCCGTTACATTATATGGTCACGTGGCACTGTCACTCAATTGCATTCACACGAAGCAGCCGCACAGGGCATTCACGTTATGCTGTCACTCACCAAAAGGGGGGGGGTACATCCAATAGACAAGTGTAATGCCTTGCCAAACGCCAAAAACATTTAACAACCTCAGCCTTGCTAATCATTAGCAATCTGTACGCTGGACACTGGATTCCCTCCTCAGCCTACAGGCCTCGAACCGTTGTTATGAGTCGAGGCTATTCCCCTATTCACCCACTTACATGGTCTACTGAGACTTAACCCTTGCCAAGATGTAGCATGACCAGTTAATAACGATCAACCATTCTAATTAACCAAAACAAAGAAGAGAACTGGAATTAATGAAAAGAAAAGGGATTATTTTGTAATGGCCAACATCTTATCTGAAATCTCGGTCAAGGCAGTTACGGAGAGAAAGCGTCGATGACCTTCGGCAGCATTACCCTGAAGAAAGGAAAAAAAAGAAAGAGAAAGCGTCCTTACTCTGGCTCTTTCTTGTCTACCCCCTCACAACTAGCTCAGCAAACTGGTTTTTGACTGAACAGATCATGCATGCTCCGACCAAAGTAGGCGTGTTGAGCCTACCTCGTCAGCATACACGGCTTGACAGCAGCCAGTGAAGGATAAGCATGAGGAACCTGTCTCTGCGGCGTCATGGGGGAACTGTCCGTGGCGGGCGCGCTGATCGTCACATACTTTCTCTAGCAGCTCGTAAGCTATCCTAAAGCTACTGCTCGGAACTCTGAGAAGATGGAGTTCTCGCTACTCCAGGCCAGGAAATGATCGTTGACCCTCTCTCTGCTCCACTCCTGAAGCGCCCATCTGTCGTCCACGCGTGCATGCCCCCTCTCACACCGAGTCTTCGCGCGCTGAAGGTGGGTTGCCGTCAGCTTCTCCCACCTACACACACGTCCCATTCTTGCCTTTCTCTCTCCCCGTTGACCTTTTCTTCCCTCCCCTGGTTCCGCCACGTGCAGCCCACACATCCCGCATGCGACGAAAACTTGACCTCCACTGGTACGGCCTGCTCTTGCCGTTCCCTCTCTCTCTCTGACATTGGTGCCCTCTTCTTTTTACACGTGTCCTTTCCCCCTGTTTTGTCTCTCCCCCGTTCCGCGCGGCTGTGAACTCTCTGCCTTACACGCGCTCATCAGCACGGCCTATCTCAGTGTGTCCTCTCCTCGCTGGCTAGTCACACACTGCAGTTCAGTTGACGTCCGCATTTTTGCACACACATTCAGTTCTCATTTCTTTCTTCTCTCTCTGTCGTTGACCCTCTCGTCCCGCTCTATCTGACTGCCACGCGGGGGTCGGGTGTACTGCCCACTCTCTCTCTCACACCTCTCGTTGACCGCCCTCTTGCTCCTCCCAGGCCGCGCCACGTGTCCGACGAGTCCCACGCATGTGTCTGTACCACTGCACTTGCCTCAGCGTCCTTGTTTCGGGTTTCGTCCTGTTCACACTCTTGCCCGCGCGTTTTCTCAGACCTGTCTTTTCCCCTTGCTCGACTTCTCCCCCGTCCTGCGACCCCGGGGTGTCAGTTGTCGCGAGCTTGCCTCGGGTCCCCCCTCTACTGGGTTTGCGGCTCGGTGATGCTTCTGGATCTCACCAGGTCTGTTCCAGGACCTGAGATCCGTCTCTCGGTCTGCGTCACTCATCTCACTCTCCCCTCTCGAGTCTCTGTCCTGGTGGATCTGCTCCATGTCCGCCGTATCCATCGAGGTCTCAGTTTCGTGGTAAGCCACCGTTATCTGTAGCCTAGCCGTCACTCCGTCCCGTCTACAGCGTCTCTCCGCTCGGTCTCTCGCCTCCGAAATCGCATCCTGCAGCTTTGGGCTAGTTCGCATCTCCCCCTCTCGTGCTCCCTCCACGTTGATCTTCAGTACCAGCTCATCTCCACCGTCATAATTGAGTATGACGGTAATCCAGGGCCCTTCCCCGGACACGGACTTCCAACGAGCCTGGTGGTACCAGTACCCAGGCCTATAGCCGTGCAGTGCCATGACTGGTCTCAGAATTAGACAAAGCCTTGGTCCTAGGCGCAGACAATCGTCACCCCCCAAGCGCCTGCTATTTTGTACCCTTCACCTCGGTTGATTGGCGCTCGCACAGCAAAAGTGGCTGGTGCGCTAACGCCACGAAGCAGTCCGCTAACGCCCTCCTGATCAGCCACTAGATAGCCAGGTCTCAGTCCTCTCTTCCCTTTTTATGCGATCGGCTGTATGTTGTGGCCCCAACGTTCTAAACGAGGTACCTTCCGAAACCCTGCTCATCGGTAACCTGGGGCCATATAATTAATTAAATGAAATAGACAATAAAATAAAAACGGATCAAAATAAAATTAGTAAAGTTTCAGTGACCGCCGGCGACTGCAGACTTTCTGCTATCGACCCCTGTCGCTTCGCCTCGCCGAGAAGCGACTGCAACCCTGAAGCGGTGGTCCCATAACGGGATACCAGCTTACGTATTTCCACCTTCAAAGCTCGCCGCCGACCCGTTACTGTTGGGTACCCGTGTCCGATGGCAAGGAGGGGGCTTATGACCCTCCATGAGGGGGGTGATAAGCTTCCTACCGATGCGGCTGCGGGTCGCCCCTCTTTTGAGGTTTCATCGCGTGGCACTCAATTGGGGCACATTCACAGACAAGATACTTGCGCCTGGCCATCGTAGGCCGCAGACCACAAAACCCGAAATTTGAACCGTTCAGCTTTCCCGCGAAGTGACTGAAAACGAAAAGGGAGCCGCGTCCAAAACCGGTAGAGTAATAATAATAATAATAATAATAATAATAATAATAATAATAATAAGAAGAAGAAGAAAAGCGTGGCGATTCAAATTTTCTTCGCGCAACAACTCCGCCTGAGTAGCGGTACAGGTCCACGCAGATCCCACTTTATCTGACCTCCAATATAGCTAGGTCCTACTGCGCGGGGCTTAGATGCACAGGCTCGGTACAGGTGATATTCGAAGGGTCAGGTCTGCCTAGCCGCAATACCACCACCTGAACTCGAAACCCAAACAGTTGGCCTCCCTATGAAATGACGGGGACCGATAATGAATCCACTTCCCAAAATAGGCAAATTAATAATAACAGTAATAATGGTAGTCGAACAGCTATCGACGAACTACTCCGGACGGAAGCAATGGCCTTGATCCGTGTACCGATCATGCGTTTTCTTTTCTCTTTTAAATTTCCTTGTCCATCCTTTACTCCGTTTTTGTTTTCTTCCTGATAGTTACCTGGTTTTTTATGCATCTGACCCATAACCTAGCAGAAGGGCATTCGACGCCCAGTTGAAAAGACAGAGCCAGTCTTCTCACCTCCGCGTCCCAGGGCGAACCCGACGGCTACCACGGCCACAGGCCGGTTGTGCTCTGCTGTACAACAGGGCGCCGAGCCTACGTGGACCAATGGAAGTCCTGTGGCGCACCCCCTTTTGTCAAGGGCACAGCCACCAGGACTGGTCTGGGTCGAAGCACAGCCTCTAACGTCAACAGAAACTCAAGACACGTCTACAGGCCGAGGCACCTTCACGAGGGACTGTACCACGCAGGGACTCGGTACACGGAGGAGGGCCGGGACACCGCGCCCTCCGACAGCGTGCAGCGAGCCTTACACCAACCGATTGGCTGATCAGGAGGCGTTTTTATGGACGGCCCCCAAAGTCCTCAGGAATTATTTAACATCGCAAACAGGACGACGATCACAGCCAATGGAAGGTCCCTGCGAGTGCTTATTTATAGACGCCCGGTCTCGTCTGTCCGATAGGGCTGGCCTGCCCCTCAGAACCCCTCTACAGCGCAGCGAGCAGACAAAGGACAAAGCAGCAAAGCATGCGTGCTCCACTCCCGGTAGGTTGGCGTGGTCACCGTGACCCAGTGCTTCGTCCAAGGCCCTTCACATAGCACCGCGCTCTCCTTCCAGATGCTCCACGTGAAGATTGACGACTCTCAAGGTTGAGCACACACGACTCCTCACATGAGAGGACTCTCAAGACAGAACACACATCCTCACGGTAAGAAGTGTCGAAGAGGGTAGATAAGGTTAGGTGCAACGTACCTCAAAATAGCTGCCCCCAACCACAGATATTCTCACCAGATGACCCGATGTTGATTGTGATGACCAATCGCTGCTTTGGCACAACCAGCATTGCACCACCGTTCCACCTCAGCATCAATCACACACCGGATAGTTCTCATCACACTGCGAACAACCAATCTTCACCACTTAGCCTTCTCGAACCCCTCTCCACCTGGGTCGCCTACTTATCTTCGCCCTCCTCACTGCACACGTCCCACGGCACGGTCGCTCACCACCGCATTAGGCAGAAGACAAACGCCAGATTAGCGCACCGAACCACAGCTCTGATACCAAATTGCAAGGAAGATGAGCAATAGCAAACTTCAGAAATCAAACAGCATCACACACATGAGACCAGATAGTCGTGACCTCGAACCAACAGCAGAATTGCATCACGAGCTTTACCAAACAAGAGCACACCAAAAGCTCATAATTGACAATGCTGGAATAATCTCATCGTCATCAACAAAGAACCAATGTTGATATCCTATCTGGCGCTCAGTGCCCAGACTACAGATGGCAGATCCTATTTAGACTACTCTACGATGCCGCTGATGACATCAACAGTTCCCCGAAGTACGAGCAGATCTCGGACAATGCCGTACGCTTCAAGCACCAGGTATGTCTCTCGTATCACTCACAACCTTGTTCCCCAACTCACAGATGCCACATGCACCCAAGGACCACCATTAGGCCCATCCAGCATACAGCAGCGCAGCTCGGCTATGGCTGCCTGCTCCTTCCAGCTCGCCCGTGAGCATGTGAGCCTGGCCAGCGTTAGCACAGCAGCGCTTGCGCAGCATGCAGCCAGTGCCCGAATGTCCAATGTGTAGGCAGGCCCTTCTCTATATCGAAGTGGCCTGCTGCTGCGTGCGGTAATGCGGTACTGGGCCCTGGCCCAGAAGCTTCCGGTAGGCCGCTTGAGGCTGAGCCTCAGTCCAAAGTAAACAGGCCCAGGGCCTGCCTCAGTTACATGCAATGAAAGGCAGCCTGGGCCTGGGCGCTTCCAACCAACTGGCGCTGCGCAACTGCCTGAATTTCCCCAGTTTGCGTGGTGACCCCAAAATGGACTGTAGGCCTCGGTCGTGTCTGCCTTCACTTAGGGCGGCCGACTGTGTGAAAAATAGGCCCTGTGGGGCATATCGAGGCCCTGTGCCTCGCAACGTAATCTACGGAGGAGGAATAGTTCAATGAGCACAAGAACAAGCAGGATACAATCGAGGGTTCAGATTGGAAGAGGGGCCCCTCTTTAATGAAGACAAGGAGTGCAGTCCCGAGAAGGACAAATTGAGGCTTTAGTCTCAGACGGGCAGACATCTCTCCCAGTCTCTTGTGGTTCAACGCCTATTCGACAGAACCAACAGGGTTTCTGAGAGGAAAACTCAGGTAGGGCAAGCTGACAGTCAATCCTCCCAAGCAGGAGTAATCAATGCTGGTCAGGGTTCCTTCGGCCAGGCGGAAGGAAGCGTGAGTGTGTATGATAATGTATTCAATTTTGAGTCTTTTTGACTTGCCGGGGGAATAGGAACCGGACTGACGCTCCCCAGAATGGATATGGAGCCAGGACCATAAGGACCTGTTTAAAAAAAAAAAAAAATGACGTCGGCAGGTTGATTGCCCCGACAATCCAATGGCAGACAAGGAAGGGCGGCGTCAGTGGCAGGTTGATTGGCTGCACCGAAGACAACCGCAAGCTACCGTCTTCCCTCAAATGGAACATACAGGCCTTATGGCTGTTTCTAGACTGAAAGTCGCACCAAATACAGCTATAGTGACCATACGTTCTATTCAGGGAACGAAGACAGTGGTCTGGATGTTTGTGCTGGACTAGATGTTGCATCGGCAGCGTGGATGTGTTTGCCAGACTAGATGCCAGCTCAGCAGTTTGATTGGGTGCACCTCACCGTCCTGGTTGCGATGTCAGCTAGTCAGATGCAAGACAAACCCACGTCACCCTTCAGTAGTAAATCTGAAAAAGAAAGAAAAAAAAAGACGGCCATGTCAGCAGCCCATGCCATGTTGTCAGCCTCATAGTCTGTTTGAACTTTGAAGACCACAGAGAAGTTGGATACGCTGCTGCTCTGTCTCATATGCTGCAGGTCTCTTTCTCCTTTTTCTTTTCCCTCTACGCTGTGTGTGTGTGTGTGTGTGTGTGTGTGTGTGTGTGTGTGTGTGTGTGTGTGTGTGTGTGTGTGTGTTTTGTTATGCCACAAGTACATTGTCCCAGCCTTGCAGTCCGAAACTTGTCGCCGCAAGAACATAAGGCTGAAACGTCAAACGCTGGGCCTGCCGTTGATGAATTTGATCAGCGGCCGTGTTTTCATTTCGCGCCTCCAGAATTTGAGGTGTCAGACTCGCTGCCCAGGTGCCCATGTACTGGTGCTTAGCACCCCAAATTTTCTCTCTCATTTCCTCCACACTCATAACAAAGTTAAACAAACTATTTATATCGAAAAGTTATAGATAATATAATAGAAAATGCAAGGTTGGCCACGTTTGTGTGGTTCAGCGCCAAAGTGGCCCACACACCGGTCTACCGCCGAAGTGGCACACTTGCACATATGCATATACATATACAATACAATATTATACATATATTTATTTGATCCATAAAAGGCTGGAGGGCAAGAAGCAACTTACCTAAGACAGAGGACTCCACCAGCAAGAAAACACCGACCCCATCCGCCATGGGTCCGAAAAAACTTGGAGAGCCCTCCGCTTCGGCCCGGAAAACCACAAAACAGCAAAACACAAAAGGCTCCACTAACAAAAAAGCACTGACCACACATGCCAGTGGTCAAAAAAAATAATTTAGAGCCCTCTGCGACAGCCTAGAACGCCACCACAAATCAAAACTACACGGCAGGACCTGTACGCAACACCAAGATTGCCATGAACCTCCCCCTGCCGCGCAACCTGCAGAATCGGATGATGTCGTAGTGCTACAGCGAGGCCACTGTGAGAACTATGCCAAATTCCACAAGATCTCCACGCGACACCAGGAGCACTACTGCTTAAAACACCCTAGAGGGCACCCCATTCTTCCATGTGCTCCGAAAGAGCAGGCCGCGGGAATGACTCCCACAGCAAACACTCTCTGAGCCTCCTCGCAGAGATATTGTGGCCAAAACCCCAAACTCCCACCCGAGAAAAACTTGTGGTCACCCACAGATGTTACTTCATCTGCGAGGCTACGCCCGCTTAGCCCCTACGGGGCCCTATCTGCAACAAGGTCGGCCGCCCTAAGTGAAGGCAGGCACGACAGGCCCTTCGGGCCTCATTCTTCAGGGTACCCCGCATCGGGGAAATTCAGACAGTTGCGWTGCGCCAGTTGGTTGAATGAATCCAGGCCCTGGGCCGCCTGTGTAATTGAATGTGAAGCAGGCCCTGGGCTGGATACGGGTACCGGGCCAAACACAGGCCGAAAGCAGTTGGGCGCATGCAACCACTTCAGGCCCAAGGCCTGCTCTCTTCGTGACTGGGCCTGTGCCTACCGGGGCCTACCGGAAGCTTCCTGGACTGGACGCAGGCAGGCCACTTCGATATAGGGAAGGGCCTGCCTCCTCATTYGGCATTCGGGTGCTGGCTACATGCTGCGTGAGMGCTGCTGYGCAATCYGCTGGCTGGCTGGCACTCACGCTCTCACGGGCGAGTAGGAGGGAGCACGCAGCCATAGGCCAGCTGCGCTGCTGTATGCTAGGTGAAGCGCAGGGTGGTCCTTGGGGTGCTAGTGGCATCTGTGCGGTATGGATCGGGGTTGTGAGTGTTACGAGAGACATACCTGGTGCTGAAGCGTGCGACATTGGTCGACATATGCTCGTACTGCTTCGTAGTATAGGCTAGATAGGATCTGCCACATGTAGTCTGGGCGCCGAGCACCAATAGGATATCAACTCTGGTTCGTAGTTGATGATGATGGGGCTACTTCAACATTGTCAATTTTGAACTCTTGGTGTGTTCTTATTCGGTGTATCTCGTGATGCAAGTCTGTTGTGGTTCGAGGTCAAGACTATCTGGGCTCATATGTATGATGCTGTTTGATTGCTGAAGTTCGCTAATGCTCATCTTCCTTGCAATTTGGTATTGGAGCTGTGGTACGATTGCGCTCATCTGGCGCTTGTCTTTTGCCTTATACGGTACATACATGCGGTCTGCTGGGAGAGTTTGGCCGTAAGTGGTGTGTAGTGAGGAGGGTGGAGACGAGCGTGAAGACGACCCAGGTGGTGAGGGGCATCGCCTGGAAGGCTAAGGTGTAAATATTGGGTGTTCGCAGTGTGATGAGAACTATCTGTTGGGTGATTGAGGCTGAGGTGGAACGGCGAAATGCTGGTTGTGCCAATGCTGTGACTGGTCATCGCAATCATCTTCAGGTCATCTGGTGAGAWTATCTCTGTGGTTGGRGGYAGCATGAACGAGGTACGTTGCTCTTAACCTTATCTACCCTCTTCATCACTTCTTACYGTGAGGTTGTGAGTTYTGTCTTGAGAGTCCTCTCATCGTGAGGTGTCGTGTGCGCTCAACCTTGAGAGTCGTGATTGTTCACGTGGAGCATCTGGGGGAAGACGGGCGGAGCTTCTTGAAGGGCCCTGGACAAAGCACTGGGTCACGGTCACCATGCCAACCCACTGGGTGTAGTACAAGCATGCTTCGCTGCAAGTCATTGGTTCTGCTGCTTGCGCATGATAGGGGTTAACTCGAGTGTGGCAGCCTCTACAGACGCATACCTGACCGTCTATAAACATTTCTGGCTGGGGACTCGGCTCTGATCTGGTTGTGATCGTCGTCCTGCTGCGACGTAAAATAATTCTTGATGTCACTTGGGGGCGGACGTTAAATTGCCTCTTGATCAGCTAGATCATCCGAGTGGAAGGCTCRTCGGCGTACGAGGGTAAATAAGAGTGCTGTGGCTGCCTTGCTTGACGATAACCCGGGGCACAGGGGTGGGACCGGATTGCACACCTTTGAGACACGCTTGGCTTATGATGCAAAGAAATGTGACACCGTGACATTGAGAAGAACAAAGGGAGGGGTAGATTTCAGATGATTAGTTCGGGTTTAAAATTCCAAACTGTGAACAGACCCAGTGAGTCAACATTATTTTTATTATTGATTAGTTAGATGGACAGCCATGTGACATATGACAGACAACATTAGTTTAGAATATTATTTATTCCTGATGCTTTCTCTGTCCCACCGGTGCTTGGGCTATCCCCATATGTAGCCCTGTCAACGGTTGCTATTGTATCCATAGGAATGCCGCTATCAGGAGGGGTATCAGCAGGTTCCTGTTCAAACACTGTTTACTCCAAGTCCGTCACAGGTTGCAATCACCACGCAGCCTGCTGTCTCGCAGCCAGTGCAGCATCAGGGCACACAGCCTCAGCCGCTAGCACAACAACCTGTTTCACCGGGTCCACAGCCTGGAATGATGCAGGGACCGGGACAGACACAGTGGGTTCCAAAGACGGCCATCGCYGCTCCCAAACCTTTTACAGGGGATAAGAGAGGCGARGACCTCGACACATGGTTGAGGGCMGTGCCGGTCTACGTCAGGTGTAAACTCACCTTGCCACACGAAGAAGTGCTTGTGGCTGCTTCCTACCTGGAGGGTAGTGCAGCGAGATGGTTGTAGTGCAACTCCAGGGGTACGGTCATGACTTCCGCTCTTGGGCAGCCTCTCAGAAATTGGAGGACTCACTAAGAATGGTGGAAGAAAGGTGGCATGATCCTCAGGAGGCTCAAAAGGCCACTGATGTGATCCTGACACTGCACACCCGGCAGTTTAAGTCAGTTAGGGATGCGACCGACGCTGTGGAGCGTTTGATTTGTGTTCCAGGGGTACGCTATGACCCCTAGGTCCTGTTAACTTCGTACTTGAGATGCTTATCTCAGCCTCTCAGGAACGAGTTGGCAAAAGATGCCAACGTCAATGTGCACAACTTTCCTTCGTTCAGCAAGGTAGCCCTGGACCTTGAAGCAAAGATAGGGTATGGACAGACACCCACTACGGAAGGGAAAAAGAAGACACTGCCTCCCAACTGGAAGGCGAAGGGTCGCTTAATGTTTGTCGACAATGATGGTTCAACCATCGAGTTGGACGGCAACCTCCAGGAGGGAGTAGGTGCAGAGGCAGGTGGCGATACTTCAAAGGGTGGAGTAGTTGCCGCCGTAACCAAGCAAAAAGGTAAAGGGACTGGTAGACGCCCTAGGGGATCCCGGTCGAAGAGTCAAACAAACCCCAATGCTCCTCCATGGGAGAAAGCGGGTCTAKCTGAGGACGTGTGGAGAGATCGGTGGGCAAGGCAAGCTTGTATCAAGTGTGGCCAATATGGTCATAGCATGTACAAGTGTCGTAATAGGAAGGTCACCGAGAAGATCCCGCCCACTATGGGGTCGGCNGAGAAAGCGGGTCTATCTGAGGACGTGTGGAGAGATCGGTGGGCACGGCAAGCTTGTATCAAGTGTGGCCAATATGGTCATAGCATGTACAAGTGTCGTAATAGGAAGGTCACCGAGAAGATCCCGCCCACTATGGGGTCGGCGGTAGGATCCTCTCAACCCGTTGGCAGCAACATTGCTAGTTCTTCAGGCAGTGCTCCGGGAAACACGTCGGGCCAGTAGGGATAGTAGCTGTTCCTACTAGGGTCGCGATGGTGGATTCACCCTCACCTTCGCGAGAGATGGCCCAAGCTACAGACTCTCCAGTCGTCCCGCAAACACATTCAGAGCCATCGACCCTCTGTTCGATGAATGTGTTTGAATCCTTAGAGGAGCTAGAGCACGAGTGGTCTAGATCAGATCCACTAGCTTCTTGGACGGCGTTGGTTAAAGCTCCTAAGAGTGAAATGTTTGTCAGCGAGGTAGTTATAGGAGGCCGCAAGGCCGGGGCCTATTACGACACTTGCTCGACTAGGAACTTTATTAGCCCCGCGTGCGTTGAGAGGCTGCGCTTACAGCGGCAAGTGCAGCGCCTGAGTCGACCTGTGGAGTCGACCTGTGCCAACAAACAGCGYATGGTAGTTAATGACTACCTCCATGATGTAGAGTGTGTTTTCCCGTACGCGGGAGGGGAATTGAGACATCGTGTCTCGTTCYTGGTGAGTGACGAGCTCCCAATGGACATGTTACTAGGTATGTACTACCTCTCTGTAGCACAGCCCCAGTTTGACTGGGACCGAAAAGTGGTCAAACACACGTTGCCAGGTGGAGGGACCGCAAGATTACATAAGTTCAAAGCTAGTAGTCTGATTGAGTCCTATGGGTGCATGTGTGCGGCCTCGTTCTATAATTATTATAATCAAAATCAGGAGGAGGGTATGTACTTAGTCTATGTCTCTGCTGCACGCAAGCCGGTGAAAATGCCGCCAGAGATAGAGGGAGTAGTTGCTAAGTACCCTGATCTATTTGAAGAGCGGACAGGGGTTGTTGAGAGGGAGGTCGTCCACGCGATAGAGATTATCCCAGGGTCTAGTATTCCAAGGGGTAGGATTTATCGGATGTCTCCAGGCGAGCTTGGTGAGCTTCGCCGCCAACTCAAGGAACTCGTAGAGAAGGGCTGGATCCGGCCAAGTGTCTCTCCTTATGGGTCTCCAGTTTTATTCGTGCCTAAGAAGAAGAAGGGAACCCTTAGGATGTGCATTGACTATAGGGGCCTCAATGCCATCACCGTCAAGAACAGAGAGCCCCTACCGCGCATCGACGATCTGCTAGATAGAGTGCAAGGGTGTCGGTACTTCAGCAAGATAGATCTGAAGTCCGGGTACCATCAGATTGCCATACGGCCCGAGGATCAACACAAAACCGCTTTTCAGACCAGGTRCGGTYTGTACGAGTTTGTGGTGATGCCTTTTGGCCTTTGCAATGCTCCTGACACCTTTCAGCACGCTATGAATCGGATATTCCATGACTACTTGGATAAGTTTGTCATCGTGTACCTCGATGACATACTTATTTTCGGTAAGACTATCGAGGAACATGTGGCACATTTGGAGAAAGTCCTCGGCCTCCTGCGAAAGCACAAGTTCAAGATCAATGGGGAGAAGTGCGAATTTGGCCGCACCTGTGTCTTGTACTTGGGTCATGAGATTTCTGCGGAGGGATTGAAGCCCGATGACGCGAAGGTGGCCAGCATTCGTGATTGGCCACGTCCTCAGTCTGTGACTGAGATGAGATCTTTCTTAGGAATGACAAGCTACTATAGGACTTTCGTTAAGAACTACAGCATAGTGGCCGCTCCTTTGACTAATCTGACCCGCCTTGACACTGCTTGGGAGTGGACAAATAAGTGCGAGGCTTCCTTCAGACATCTGAAGCATGCACTGACGCACTATGAAGTCTTGAAACTTCCTGATCCTGACAAGCCGTTTATAGTCACAACGGATGCCAGCCAATATGGCATTGGCGCCGTGCTTGCGCAGCAGGAGGGGCCAAAGTTGAGGCCAGTTGAGTACATGTCCAAGAAAATGCCGTCTCAGAAGTTGGCTAAGTCTACTTATGAGAAGGAACTCTATGCGGTGTACAAGGCTCTCACCCATTGGAGACACTATCTCCTTGGGCGGTTCTTCATCCTCCGGACTGATCATCAGACCCTGAGATGGATGAGAACACAACCGGTACTCTCGGATGCTCTCAAGCGATGGATCGAAGTCATTGAGCAATATGACTTTGACCCTCAGTATCTCAAAGGGGAGTACAACAAGGTTGCTGATGCCTTATCGCGCTGATCGAACTTCTCAGGTGCGCTGATTACTGAGTTCGATCTGACGGACGATGTTACTAGGTCTTTCACGGAAGCCTATCGTCAGGACCAGTTTATGTCTGAGATCATACGCAGACTTGAGGCGAAGGATAAGAAGACCTCCGCCGAGTTTGAGTTGGTCAATGGATTGTTGTTCCTAGAGAAGGCAGGGAATAAACGCTTGTGTGTTCCAAWTAGCGAGTCTTTGCGTAGTTTGTTTTTAGGTGAGTGTCATGATGCCACCGGCCATTTTGGGTACAAGAAGACCGCAGCCAACTTGCTGCAGCGGTTCTGGTGGCCCAGGATGATGAAAGATGCACAACTGTACGTGGAAACTTGTCAAGTATGCCAAAGAGACAAGCTCCGTACTCAGGCTCCTCTTGGGCTGCTCAAGCCCCTTCCGATTCCGAAAAGGCCGGGTGAAAGTTTGTCCATGGACTTCATGGATACGCTGRTCACCAGCAAGAGTGGGATGAGACAGATCTTTGTCATCGTGGATAGGTTTAGTAAGTTTGCTAGATTAATAGCTATGCCAGAAACAGCAAAGACCGAGTACGTGATCAGGTTATTTAAAGAGAACTGGGTCAGAGACTTTGGACTGCCGAAGTCAATAGTCAGTGACAGGGACGTCAGGTTTACGAGTGAATTGTGGAAGGTCGCTGCAGCTGAACAAGGAACTCAACTGCAGATGACTTCTGGAAATCATCCAGAAGCTAATGGCCAGGCTGAACAAATGAACCACGCTGTGCAACACCTGTTGAGGCACTACATCAAGCCCAACCAGGTAAGCTGGGACGAAAAGCTTGCTCTAGTCGCCAGTTTATATAACAACGTTGTACACAGTGCTACCGGGAAGAGTCCTAACAGTCTACAACTGACATTCAAGCCTAGACTGCCCTTAGACTTCCTAATTCCAGACAACCAGCCAACTGCTACACCGGGCACTTTGGAGTTCACCTATAGATATGAACAGAAGATGCAGGAGGCTGTAGAACACATGCAGAAGGCGCAGGCAGCAATGATAGAGTCTGAGAATAGACACCGCCACCCTTCTACATTTCAGGTTGGGGACAGAGTCTGGGTCAAGTCTTCAGAACTGGGACAGGAGTTCGGAATATCCCGCAAACTCATGCCTCAGTACTTTGGGCCTTGGGAAGTTCTAGACGTAGTAGGGACAGATCCTGATGGTTCATCATATGTCATCCGTATCCCTGGTCATCTTAGAACTCACCCTGTCTTTCACGCCTCTAAGCTCGCTGCGTTCAAGGAAACTGATCAGCTTCCCTCTCGTCGGTCAATGCTGCCCCCAACCATAGATGGAGAAGTTGACATCGACGATATGGTCGACCACAGGGAGATGCCTGTTCGGAAGCCTCCAGGAAAGGGACGTCCTCCAAAGCCAAAACTGCAGTTCCGTGTTCACTTCAGACATCACACGGATCCGAAAGAGGACCGCTGGTTTACTCGGGAGGAATTGATGCAGACCGCTCCTCAAATCGTTGCCCGCTATGAGAAGGATGTATTGAAAGGAAAGTGCCAGATGGCTCAAGATTGATCTTCGCAGAGGACTAACGAAGATATGGAGGAGGGAATGCGAGGCTACGCCCGCTTAGCCCCTACGGGGCCCTATCTGCAACAAGGTCGGCCGCCCTCAGTGAAGGCAGGCACGACAGGCCCTTCGGGCCTCATTCTTCAGGGTACCCCGCATCGGGGAAATTCAGACAGTTGCGTTGCGCCAGTTGGTTGAATGAATCCAGGCCCTGGGCCGCCTGTGTAATTGAATGTGAAGCAGGCCCTGGGCTGGATACGGGTACCGGGCCAAACACAGGCCGAAAGCAGTTGGGCGCATGCAACCACTTCAGGCCCAAGGCCTGCTCTCTTCGTGACTGGGCCTGTGCCTACCGGGGCCTACCGGAAGCTTCCTGGACTGGACGCAGGCAGGCCACTTCGATATAGGGAAGGGCCTGCCTCCTCATTYGGCATTCGGGTGCTGGCTACATGCTGCGTGAGMGCTGCTGYGCAATCYGCTGGCTGGCTGGCACTCACGCTCTCACGGGCGAGTAGGAGGGAGCACGCAGCCATAGGCCAGCTGCGCTGCTGTATGCTAGGTGAAGCGCAGGGTGGTCCTTGGGGTGCTAGTGGCATCTGTGCGGTGTGGATCGGGGTTGTGAGTGTTACGAGAGACATACCTGGTGCTGAAGCGTGCGACATTGGTCGCCATATGCTCGTACTTCGGGAACGCTGTTGATGTCATCATTCTGCTTCGTAGTATAGGCTAGATAGGATCTGCCACATGTAGTCTGGGCGCCGAGCGCCAATAGGATATCAACTCTGGTTCGTAGTTGATGATGATGGGACTACTTCAGCATTGTCAATTTTGAACTCTTGGTGTGTTCTCATTTGGTGTATCTCGTGATGCAAGTCTGCTGTGGTTCGAGGTCAAGACTATCTGGGCTCATATGTATGATGCTGTTTGATTGCTGAAGTTCGCTAATGCTCATCTTCCTTGCACATCAACAAGACAGCACATGCTACAAAGCAGGGCAAAGAATTAGGCCATGTATAAAAAAACGAACCAACAAAACACATGCATCCACAGAGGAGTAGCTTGCTAGTACGAGCCCTCCTTACTATGCCTCACACGTACAAGGCTGCCCACGTTGATTGTGGTTAAGGGGCGTGTGCCGTAACGGCCCACTTGCATGTTCTAACAGGAGGCAGAGTAAAGGGGAAGGTATGCTCCTGTGCATTTCACTTCAGATCTTCATACTCCTGTTCATTTCACTTGAGATCTTCATACTCCTGTTCATTTCACTTCAGATTTTCAGCTTATACTTAGTCTTTGTGTCTGTCCTTCATCTTCGTACTCCTGTTCATTTCACTTCAGATCTTCAGCTTATGCTTTGTCTGTTCTCTTAACAATGCTCGTTTGTATGTATTTGCTAGTAGCACATAAGAGGAGGGTTGTTAAGAGAACAGACAAAGCATAAGCTGAAGATCTGAAGTGAAATGAACAGGAGTACGAAGACGAAGAACAGACACGAAGACTAAGTATAAGCTGAAAATCTGAAGTGAAATGCATAGGAGCATACCTTCCCCTTTACTCTGCCTCCTGTTAGAACATGCAAGTGGGCCGTTACGACACACGCCGCTTAACCACAATCAACGTGGGAAGCCTTGTACGAGTGAGGCATAGTAAAAGAGGAGCTCTTGCCCAAAAGAAACCCCAGCTAAACACAGTTCTAAATGGTTCTATGACAATTCATGTTGCTTGCTAAAGAGGTGTTGAGCTGGCTCAACTCGAATCTACTTATCTGGGTGGAATAGGGGGTGTTGTGGTGGAAATCTAAAACACACACACACACACACACACACACACACACACACACACACACACACACACACATGTGCAAGTGTGCCGCTTCGGCGGCAGACGGTTGTGTCGTTTGTATTTGCTAGTGGCACATAAGAGGAGGGGGGAAGGAAAGGGATAGGAGGAGGAGGTCTATAGGAGTGTGGGGTAGGGGGAAGCGGAGTGCAAAGGGCAGCATAGAGTGTGACACACAAAGGTCAGGGAAGAGGTATATGATGAACTTCAGTGTGTATGTGTGTGTGTGGCCAACCATACACTTCACAGGTTCCATCTCTGTCATTGTGTAATGTGATAACATTGTTACCATGGGTAATTGGACACTCAGGGCTTGTTGTCTTTTCTTCAGAGGACAAGGGAGGCAGTCTTGATTTGGACAAGTTAATTATTATATGTACTTGGGTAATCGTGTAGCTCTGACGTTTTTGGCTCTGTTTGTGATTTCAGGGTGCTAGGATAATTGGAACACTTCGCGGTCACAAAGACCGCACAAATGCAGTGGAATGGGCGCGTCCGCATGGGCATATATTCTCAGGTAGAATGTCATTACACCTGTGGTAGGCACAACACCTGTCTGTTTGCTCCTTGTAAGTTTTTTTCCACACACCTGCCAGCTCTGCTTCCCTCCTTGTGTTGGCATGTGGTGATTTGGCAGCTCTATTAAAGCCGCAGATACCCATCAACAGCCACCACAGATAGCCTCACATAGCCATGAAACCAACACAGATAGCCACTAGAGATCACCACAGATAGCCACTGGAGATCACCGCAGATAGCCACTAGAGATCACCACAGATAGCCACTAGAGATCACCACAGATAGCCACTAGAGATTGCCACAGATAGCCACTAGAGATCGCCACAGATAGCCATGAATAGTCACCACAGGTAGCCACAGATAGCCACAGGTAACCACAGATAGCCATGAATAACTACCACAGATAGCCATGAATAGCAACATATGGCAACTGCAGATACCCATGACAGATCACTACGGATAGCCACACGTAGCCACAAATAGCCACAAATAGCCACAGATAGCCACGAAGAGCTCACACAGCCACCACAGATGACCACAGATAGACACAACAGATGGCCACAGATAGCCACTACAGCTAGCCACATGTAGTCGCCCCAGATAGCCATGAATAGATAACGGATATAGTCAAAGATAGCGACAGATCACTAATAGTGTAGTGCTTTTCAAGAATCTCAAATACTTGCATCTGTCATTGCACTTGCGCACCTGATTCAGGACAACCGTATTTGCAGTCAGATACATCTTGAAAAGTCTTAGTGTGAGTACGCTGTGGAGGCCCTGCCTCTATGCTAGCCTAACAGGCACTGTGACTGGGTACCACTGTGACCCTCCTGACTATAACTGATCATCTCTGGCTGTGCTCTGCGTCAAGGAGGGCCAAAAGGGAAGAATGATTCTTTCCGTCTGCCCAATGGTTGTTTTTCTGATGTTCCAGATGTTACTTTTTTGGACTGTTCAATACACTTGCCAGTGATGAGCAACCGGACTGCCGCCCCCTAGAATGGATGGGGCACCCGTGCGTGTGTGGGCTCAAAAAAAAAACAAGAAAACAGGCACTCGACATGCGGATCCCAGTTCAAAACTCACCAGGATGCTAATTGGCGGAAAAATGTACGGGAAAGTCGGAGAAACGCAAAATAATTTATAAATGGAATGAGATTGTCCTGTCAAAATACATCAATTCCTCAGGGCATACGCACATTAGGACTTTCCTGGATGTACAGGACCTCTTTTCCAGCCCCTGCTGGACGCACCCGACTTCAATTGCGTCCACAGAGAAGTGGGAAAAAGTCCTAGTGTGAGTGTGCCCTCACTATTGTCTGAGAACTATTCCTTGGCAATTTGTCTAATTTAGTAAATTGAGAGTTTTTGTTTTTTTGTTTTTTTTTTTCCGCTTTTTGGGGTTTGAGAGTATATACCAAGGCTGGTCCCCATACTGCCTGGCGGCCTGGTCGTCGCCCGGGGGGGGGGCCGGGCCGCCTGGCCGGTTGTCATGCCCGGTTGGCCACCGGGCGCCCCCAGCGCATCAGTGTAGGTTATTTTTTTTTATTTGTTTTTGGCGCTGGGGGCCTTTTCGCCCTCATGGCAGACTATGCAGACCACGGAAAAAAAAAAAGAGGGCCGGCAGGCCCGATTTCACCGATTCGAAATCGGGCCCGATCTGGATCGTCGATCTCAAAAATCGACGGCCCAGATGGCCGCGATTTCAATTGGTGAGGGCGGGAACTACCGGCCTCCGTTCCCTCCCCCATTCTCGAGGTGTACCCCCTACCGTCTTCCCCCGAACATAACGGACCCTAAAAATGAATGTATACGAGTTATATTTCCAGCCCGATACAGCCAAAATGAGGGTGCGTTGTGTTCGGGGGAAGACGGGTCCCCCTGTTCCCTGCCCTGCAGTTGTGTCGCTCCGCTGGACTTCGACGCGGAACTCCGACGCCGCAAGCACCTGCCATTGCCCGCCACCGCACCTGACCCCGCCGACCCCGCCGTCGCCTGCCAATGCCCGCCATCGCGGTTCCCCGCCATCGACAAGGTAAGGGACTTGGTGGGGGGGAGAGAGAGAGAGAGAGAGAGAGAGAGAGAGAGAGAGAGA